TTCTATGAAGCAACTGATGTCTCTATTATTATGCGATTTAAATTTGATGCTTAATCGAACTGTGATTTAAATAACTTGGTTGAAGCAGTTTGCTTGTTGAGGTTTTCCATAAACCTCATACGCTTGTTTCCCCATCATAGATAAATGATTTATGAAGATGCTTGGTGGGATGGGAGTAGCAACATATTTGCACACGTGTCGATATACACTTCAAACAACCAATTATGTTGTAATGAGTTTTATTTGATGTTGGAATTGTATCTTTGCTTCCTTTCAAAGTTGCTAGTCGCAGATCAACTTTGTTTATTGTTATGTCATCATAGAATACTTAATTTAATCCTTAATCTAGATGACGTATTTTTGCTTCCGCGTACTCTCTTGTTGTAGTGTAGTGTGGCAATTCTCCAGAGGATTGTTGTGTTTTTCTTCTGGGGTGTTACATGTGTGACACAGGTTGCATCAGAATATATCAACCTAATGCAACGTGTGTCATTATTGGGCATATGATCCATAGCTTCAATTAATTGTCATTTAGCAAAACTTTTGTGTGTGCAGCACTGTTAAAGCATTGAAAAGGTAAAATTTTCTGGAGCATACACAACACGAAGGTAACTAGAAGTAAAGCTGAGCCTGGAAAGTAAAGACAGATGTGTGGCTAGCTGCAACTTCACCTCTGTATTTTAAACGAAAAGGCTTGGAATCCTATTCTTCGGCCACACGGACTGCACATGAGACTATGTAGAGGCTTTTTTTCAGTTTCATCCTCATATTAACTATTTGCAGAGACAATAAATAAATTATTTGCAGAGGTAACTTTACATATTAGGCTAGTGTTCATGTCATCCAAAATGAAATAAGCAGAAGTAGGCCATAGTTTTTACTATTCAAGATAATGAAATAATTTAGTCTATTCTCTTGGATAAAGTAACTAATGCAACACAACTATTTAGACACTCATATTTGTTCCTGAACTAGTTGCTAAATTCCATATCTGCTGACAAATTTGTGTTTTTTTTTTTTGCGAGAAAGGCTGAGTTTATTAATGAGGAAGGGTCACATCCATTGACACTAAACTTGCAGCAAAGTAAGGACAATGTTGCAGCCAAACCACTGATGATAAAACTTTACAAGCATGCTTTGCTAGAAAACCACTAACCTATTCTGATGTGTCTTTGTGTAAATAAACTCAGCGCCCAGAAGCTCATCCAAGAGTGCTCATGTTTCCTTTACTTATAATGCTAGGTGGGATCTATTAACACATCTTGAATTTAGGGCCTGATAAATTGTATAAATGAGGTATCCATTGCATAACCAGAAGGAGAGCCTCTCTAAATACAAGCAATTCAGCTTCCTCTGCATCAAAACAGACAAATTGAACTTTGTGACAATGCAAGTGGCACATCGATATAGGTAGTTTGCATGATAGCTTCGTCAAGTTCTCAAAGTCATTATTGACCCCTTTGTTGAACGTCATAATGATAATGTGGTGGATAGTGTTCCTCTTCTGGGATGAAGATTAGATGAAGTTGTGAAGGTTCTTGTTATACGTATCATGTTCACCAAATATCAATAGGAGTGTTCCTTCTTATAGACTTTAGAGACGATTGACACGCACGGCCAAACTAACCGTGGAGTGGTATGTAGACACTAGACACCATGGCACTTAGCTCGCACCACAGCTCTTGCCATGATGACCACAACCCCAGTAAACATAGCGCACGACAACTACAGTAGCTACAAAGATAAATTTATATGCAGGTTACTTATTTACCACAAACAGAGTTGCAACACTATCTGAGCCTTAAGCTTCTGCAGGAAGTGTTTCGGAATGCCATTTTGTTTAGTAGCTCTTAAGCTTTTTGGAAGCTACAAGGTTAACATCGGCCTCCGCTTTTGTGCAATTAAGTTATGGTTACAAGCTGTCAGCAGCTTATCGCAGTTCCTTTTATGCGAAAGAGAGAATCTCTGTTGAGTGGATGATTTGAAATTAGCAGGGGAGAAAAGCTGAAAGGAATATGCCAGTCACAGTCACAGACTCACAGTATTCTCGTATACAAATCTGGATATTTCCACTACTTATTAACAGATGCTTGTGAAAAGCTTGTTTCCTTCCCACCACGATGTTCAGCAGAAGCTGCAAAGATCTGCTTGAGAAGCGTATAATGCATGGGATATTGTGGTTTCTTCCTCTGTTTCAGTGTCATCTTCTCCTCTCAAGATGGAGCAGAGCACCAAGGAATTCATTGACTGCAGTTGGAAGTTTGTGAATAATCCTGGAGGTATGATTCGGGCACTTGTCTCAGCTCTGCGCGTCACAGGAAAAGGACACCATGCCTCGGGCTTTCAGCCAGCTTACTACATAACTCTGTAGTCATAATCATGCGGAATGATAACTATGGAATTGTTCTATGTATGTACTTTGGTCACATTCAATGTTTTTTTTTTGCAATATTGACACTGAAGAATTTTCTTACTACATGTCAATTGGTGATTTAAAATTTGACAATTGTCTCGGATGAATAATCAAAAAAGAAAATCTCTAAGAGATTGGCATGTTCGGGCAGTTTCACTTTCTATATAGCTAGTAAATATGCGTGAAGACAGCCATTTATCTTGTACTTTAGCTTTGGGCTCCTTGAACTGGTGTGTATATAGGACATGCAAAGCTTCATCCACAAGACCTCTAGTGCTGGTGAAGCTAGCCATAATGTTTTAGGTTGCACGCTGTTTAATTTGGATACACCCAGAATGATCCTTATTGGCCCAAACGTTTGCCGCGTGTATGGAAAGAAGTGTCGGCTGGTGCAAAATTCCTCCGGAATTCACTGTAACCAGCTAAAAAACACTGTTCACGCTCTCACAGATTCCTCCAGATTCCTCCTAGCAAATAGGGCCTAAAGGCCATTGCCAGAACGTCATTGTGGCGCCGATGGTAGCTCCCCAGGCCACGTGGATACATAAATGTGCAATTTTCCCCTTTATTTAAGGGAGTGCCAAGCATAGCATCTCCTTCTACAGACGATTTCACTGTTTTACACTAGGTATATAGGAAAGACCTGACCTATTTGCGGAATGAATAAGACCACAACAGCAGCAGCATTTCATCATGCTAAATTTGTGCTGGTTGTTTGTATGGCACCACATTTTTTAGTTGCATTGTTAACTTGGTCTCAGAGAGCAGTGGTCAAAGGCTTGGGAAGCATAGGGAAGTGTGGATGCTTGTGCAACATGTTTTCAGTTTCGTCAGCGCAGAGTTAGGCTCGGTGTCTTCTAGTCTTATTGCATAACCGTAATGGCGGCGACCAAGGCAGCCGAATCTGAAGCTTCTTCTGGTGGAAGCTATTGCCAAGTCCCACACTTTCTTCTGTAGCGTTATTGGTTGAGCAGCACAAGTGTTGCTGGAAATCCGAACCATCATCTTCCATGGTTCGTTCTATTTTACACGCTGCAGATATCGAGCCCTCCATGGACTCTAGGAACAGAGAACAGTTGCCAACAAAACCACAGCACAAGCTGCTGCAAAAGCCATTTGATTTTTGCAATGTTTGTCTGTTGCTTGTACTTTGTACCCAACATTATATTCCCATGAGAAATGTTCATGGTGTTCACAACTGACAAGGTCATGGTTTGGCCTTGCAAGGCCACCATAGAGGCAAACACGCATGCTATTAGTTACTTTTACAAGCTGTAAGCAACTTACCTCTTAATAAAAAAGGAGGCAATCAGCTAACCTTGCACTCTCTGGGATCGGTGGAGAAAGAAGTTAAGGAGATGCTGTTATGTTCTTGAAAAGCATATCAATGATATGTGGTACAGCCAGACGCTTTGGGAATCTAACAGCTATATATATGATCGACGCATTTGTCTGTCCAGTCCTCTACTCTCAGCCTCACAATACCACAAACATCATATGATTCCTCTGCCTAACTTTGTGCTAGTTTATTTTCAAGTGACACAGAACCAGCTGTATCTTTGTGCGAAATCCATCTGATAAGCCAGTCCTTGGAGTAGAGAACAATTGTGAACAGAACCACAGCGGGAACAGATGCCAGGGACATACTTTATGCTAGTATTACGTTTTATGACAAGCTGTAAGCAACTATGCACTGTGTGTGGTCATCAGACTCTATTTGATCAGCGTAATAAAAAAAAGTTAATGAGAAACTGCTAAAAAGTTGTTGAAAGCGTAGCAATGGGTTGTGTGGTGTGGCACTCATCAAACAGCAAGAAGCCACATCCTCTGCTCTGAGCCTCCCAGGACAGCACACGGTTCCAATCCTATAGAATATATATAGGTCTAACCTTTTTCCTTTTCATCATTGTATTGAAGAATCAGATCCCCCATTTGTATTGAAAACTCCACAAAGTACTGTGATATGAAAAAACATTTGGCTCTGACCACTGAGATGTGGACAGTAAGAACACACATTGTGCTCTGCTCTGTACAGTCATCGAGAGAATGAACAGCAATATGCAACCCTGCCTAATCACCATTTATTTTTCTACAAGTCGTGCAGAATCAGCTCACCATGTATTCGTCTGCCATCTCAAATTCCCAACCTGTATAATAAAAATCACTCAAATCCATTTTGATTCCGGCAAAATCACAGAAAACTCCCACTTGAAACTACCAGACATCATCCAAGCTCTACCGATCAACTTCAGAGCACGCATGCTACGATCCGATCACATGATGCTACACGCCGCCGGGTCGTCGTCACTGAACGTCCGGCAGCCCCTGTACGCACCGCACGGCGGTGGCAACGGCCTCACGGTTGTCCCGTACACCCCGCCGCAGCAGCCGCACCTGCAGCTGCCGTAGTAGCCCTGGTGGCAGGGCGCGCAGCACGGGCACCCACACGGCCCCACGGGCGGCGCGGGCCACGACGGGATCTCCACCGTCGGGATCACGTACTCCTCCACCGGCTGCTCCAGCGGCCGCCCCGGGCACGGCGGCGGCGGGTGGTGTTGCGGCACCGGCATGGCCATGTCCATCGGCTTCATCGGCGGCATCTCCTTGGGTGGGGCGACATCGGCGGCTCCAGCTCCGCTCTGGGCGGCTTCTCCTCGACGTAGTGCGGCTGGGGCACCATCGCGGACATTCCCTCGTCAGGCGGAGGCGGGTGGTGGGCCGGGGATGACGGAGGCGGCATCATCGTCTCGGGCGGAGGTCCCGGTGCCTGCTCCGGCGGCGGAGGCCGCTCGGTGGGCGGTGGCGGCGGCTGCTTCTCCTTTTTCTTTTTCTTTCCTTTCCCCACTGGCGCTGGCGCCGGCGCGGTTGGCCCGTCTGGCATGTTCTCCGGAGGAGGCTTCCCGCCGCCGCCGTTGGTGTCGACGATGTGGACGTCCTTGATCACCTTGCCGCCCTTGCAGCGGAGCTTGCAGGCGAGCCGCTGCGGGTCGAACGGCCCCACGATGGTGATCGTCTTGCTCTTGTTGTCGAAGGAGATCGTCCGGATCCTCTCATGGTCTGCCAAGATCACGAGAGAAATCGAAGGATCGTGCATGGTGACATGGTGCTCATCATCGCTCGTAAACATGAAGGATCATATTGACGAGGTTGTTTGCAGTAGTTTATTTATTTATTTATTATTTATTTACCTTGGAGCTTGCAAAGAATCTTGCGGATCTTGTGGTAGCACTTGTGGCAATCAAGGTCAACCACGACGATTAGTATGGAGATCTGTGTTGACAGCAGCATTAGTCCAGGCCGGGTAAATATTATTCTTATTATTTTTGACAGCAAAGGGAATCAGATGAAAATCACTGCTTGCAGCTGGCACGCGAAAAGCGGAATAAGATTAATTCCGAAAGTATTAAAAGCATTGTTCAAACGCTGCGCATCTTTATCACGTAATTACTGTAAGCAAATCCGTTTCTGTTTCTTTCTATCTGTCGTCGTTTGTAAAGTAAATAAGTAACTCCCATACCAATGAATTCAGCCTCGGATTATATTTTGTCATACTACTTACTACAATTGAGAGCAACTATGAACATAATATAAGGTATTGACAGGCGCCCCGAAAGAATATATTTAATCTCTTGGCGAAGAAAAAGAAACACAATATAAGCTCTTGACAAGTGCGCCAAACGACGAATATATATTCTCTCGCCAAAGTGAAAGAGAAACACATAAAAAAGCGTGTAACGCAGGTATGTACGCGATACGCCTTTCAACAGGAACTAGCTAGATTGTGAAATAAAGAATGGACTTATTCGTACAGATCAACATATGTGTGTGGAAACTCTTTGAATACATTCTTGCTCCACTACTATGCTTTTTTTTTTTCCTTTCAACCAATTTCTAAAGAACAGCATATACAGGTTAGCGACCAGCGCAAATTCTGGTACAACAAAACGCAAATTCGCAAAGAAGAAACAAAGGATACATCAAAACACCAACACACAATTGTTGCATGCGGCAGAACTCATGTTAGCTTCAAATTTTGGAAGGAGAGGGTTTGAGAGAGAAAGATCACCTTCTCTGCCATGCTTTGGGTGGGAGCTGATCCTCTGTTTCTCACATGCAGAGTCTAGAGAGAGATTGAGAGTGAGAGACAGAGAGGCGTGCAGTGCCGTGTGAATAGAACAGAGCAGAGGAGCGGAGAGAGCGAGGTGCCGTATAAATAGGAGATAGGAAGGAGATGCCTGGGCGACGCCATCTAGCCAGCTCACATGGCCCCACGTCGAGGGAATTACCGTTTTCACCCGCACGTGCACACGTATTCGCAACCTCACTGCGTGCAACTTCTATATTGTTCAGCTCATAAACGTTTGCATGTCAAAAAAACACTTTGCATAGCATTTTGTCGTATGTTAATAAGGATCCCCGAAATGTGGCAAAGAGGACGTGCCGTAATTTAATTCTTATTAAAAGGCCGTTGCATTGTTCAATGTGCGCTGTGTACTCCGTAATACAACGTGGTGCATTATGTGAAAAATAAATACACCATAACTAGCCTACTTTAGTGAGGCCATCGATACATTCCAACTTGACAAATGATCTAGATTCATGTCAGCATTAATTAATTTAGTAAGTTTAACTCTTTGTGTATAATATTAGGGATGATACACTACCCCAGATATGACATTCACGGTCGGTTCGAAACCCCCCATCACTGTCGGATTTTGAACCGGCACAACCAAACCGGCAGTGACGGAGGGTTCACATCAGTGTCGGTTCTTAGAAAACCTCAAAAACAGGCTGCAAAAATAGGGATTTTTTTTAATACTGGGAGATACCCCACCGAACAGCCACGCGGTCACAAGTCACGCGATTTTTATATCAATCTGGTTTTGAAATGACTATTTGGGATCCTAAATGATTTCCAATCAAAAAGTTGTCAACTACAAAGTTTTATAACTTTTTAGGGATCTACAACTATGCTTTTAGTCATTTCTCCATCCGAGGTCATTTGAAGAATTTAAATTTCAATTGTGAGAAAATTGAACCGTAATTTTCCCTGGATAGATGATTTCAAATTAAAAAGTTGTAAACTACAAAGTTGCATAACTTTTCGAGATCTACAACTTTTGTTTTGACCGTTTCTCCATCCGAGATCATTTGAAAAATTAAAATTTTAAATTTGAGAAATCAAACGTAATTTTCTTTAGATAGTGGTTTTAAATGAAAATATTGTCGACTACAAATTTGCATAACTTTTTAAGACATACAACTTTTGTTTTAGTCACTTCTCCATTCAAAATTCTTAAATATTACTACACACTCACTTATGACATGTAACATATGACTTTAGTTGGTGTTAACTTCTCTGAAATCTTGTGAGTCAAATAGAGGAACATCGTAACGACTTCAAACAAAAAAGTTGTGAACTACAAAGCTGTATAACTTTTTGAGATCTACAACATTTGTTTTGACTACAACTCCACACTCACCGATAACTATGGAGCATATGGACTCCTTTGATATTTACTATATAAAATCTTGTGGTGTATATTTCGGCATCCAAACGATCTCATGTCAAAAAAGTTTGAACTATAAAGTTGTAGATCTCGTCGTGTTCTACAATTTTGATATAAATTTCGTCTTCATCGGACATCATATGAGAGAGTTTTTTTGCAACGAAAGAAGAATTATGTTAGATAATAGCTGGATACGTCAACAGGTTACAAGCACTCTAGATTACACGTTACCGGCAGTGATGTGTCGGGAGGCACTATCACTGTCGGTTTCTTAAAAACCGACAGCGATGGAGCTAGCAGTGAATGCCAGATCTGCAGTAGTGATACAAATTTTAGGACACTATGAAAACTTGGACATTAATCGGTTAAAGTTTTAGATTGTATTTTAAATAAATTAGGATTCGTATTAAAAAATCCAATATATAAAAATCCAAAAAAATGTGTAGATAAATATTTATCTATAAGTAAATTTAAATATATAAAATTTTCTTAAATATCCAAAAACCTAAAGTATTTGACTAAGTCCATTTTGGCCCCTTGACTCTTGTCTTTGTGTCGAACTTTAGCACATCAACTATAAAAACACATTGATTTTGTCCCCCGAGGAAGTTTTGAGTGCTTTGAGTTGGCTTTGGGGTCAAAATGAAATGGTTTTCATATTCAAGGTACCAAAGTTGGGGGTTAGAATGAGACTAATAAAGGGAAACATGAGGGGCCCAAAATGGACTTAATCCAATAGTAAGAAGTCTTATATTTTTAGATAAGGATTAATTGCAGTTTCTTTTGGATTACAGAGAATATATTATATTTGTGGAAAAAATTCAAATGCTAAGACCTCTTATATTTACGGACACAGGTAGCACTTGTTTTAGTTACATGTTTTTATAGGGCAATGAGAAATATTTTTCCTCGGTATTTCAACACCATCTGTGATATCCACGAGATGAAAAGAAGTATTTCTATTCACAATTATCAGGCCCATGTATATGTTGTCTTTCAAAAATATTTAAATCAAGCATGTCAAGCCAAAAAAAAAAGATATTGTTAATAAGCCAAAGCCTGCAAAAAATGATGCCAACAAATTAATATGCCAGGCACATGTGCTTTGTCACACTCAGCCTGTCGGGTCAAACTTTAGGATAGAAATCGGTTTAGGAAATTTGGGGATTCTTGGTTGAAGTAGCAACAAAATTGTCAATTGTTGCATCAAGTAAAAAGGGGATTATGTTACGTAAATAATTAATTCATTTATTAGTTGCGGCTTAGTTTTATTCCAGCAGTTATTTGTTGACTAATAATGAGGAAAATTTGTGAATCTCTACTATAATGAACCAATCCAAACTATACTAGGTATATCTAAGATTGCGTCCCCCGCTAAGAGAGTCTAACCATTATGCACAAAAAAAAAATACACCTAGCAAATCGTCTTGATTAAAATCAAGGGCTAAAAAACACCCCTCACAGGCTTCAAATCAATCCTGCCAGGATCGTTTCAGGCTTCAACGCAGGCTTCAAACGCGCAGCAACCAGCGATCGAATCGTGCTTCCACGAAAAAACGCGACTCTGGCGCCGACACCGTGAAACCCTATGCCGCCCGCCTCCGCCACCCACAATCCTGAGCCCCTCCTTGCCTGGAGAGGACAGCACTATGCAGCAAGGGAGGCGCCGGAGGTGATGGACTCGCGCCCGCGACTGAGGGAGGGCACGCACAGCGGAGGAGGCGGCGGCAACGCTGTGGAAGGCATGGTGCCGGGTGCGGCTGTCCGCGCATGACCCGGCGCATGTGCCGCCCTGGGATGCCGTCGTGCTCACGACCGTGATCTACAGCCGCCCTGGGACGCCGTCGTCCCCAAATCGCCTCCGTTCCTACGCCTCTGGAAAAAAAAACTGAAAGAGGAGGCGGCGGCATGGCTCTGCGGGATCGAGGCGGCGACGCGGGCCTCGACCAGCGCAACAAGGGCGGGACGAAGGAGGCGGTGGCGTGGCTTCACTGGCAGCTCAACGAGGGCAGGACCAAGTAGGCGACGGCGTGGCTTTGCGGGCAGTCTGATGAGGACGGGACGAAGGAGTGGACGGCGTGGCGCGCGAGCAGCCGGATGAGGGCAGGACGAAGGAGCCGGTGGTGCGGCGATGCGTCCAGCCCAACGAGGATGGGATGAAGGATGCGGCAGTGCGGTGAAGCCTCTCCAATCCATCTCCTCAGCAGGCGAGTGTTTTTTTACCCATGCGGTTTTTTTGACGGCAACGGTGTGAATGACCATGATCTCAGCGAGGATGTGCAGCAACGGTGTGAGCGCAGTGGCCTGCGTCTACACACGGTAGAGGTGGAAGAGCACCAACCAGGACACCTTGCTCACGTGGGAGGTGAGCTCGTAGCTGCCGATTCTCCCTGGGTTCTGATTCATTGGTATAAGATAAGATTAACAGAAAGTTCTAATTCTAATTGTTTATTGGTTTCTGTTTCCTTTTTTTTTTTGCTCACGAGATACATGTTTGGCTATTTGTAGAATTAGAACTCTCCTTTGCTCATTTGGTTGCAAGTGGCTGGAAGTTATTTCCTTTCTATTTAGGTTTCAAAGATCAGAAAATGGAGAGCGAGGTACATGCCAAAGGTGCTTGGTTAAGTGGTCACTGTTCCAATTCCTTTTTCTTTCTCTAGGGCAGATAAGCCAATTGTGTGTGTGAATTGCTGGTTACAGAGAACGATATTGTGGATATGTTTAGTTCAGCAGGGTTTGTATGGATATGTCGATTCCACATAAGTCTGGTGAGGGGTATGTCACTGTTCCAATGAATCCTTTGTTCCTTAAGTGGATTAATAAAACTTGCAAGATATTACAGCTTTTGATTACATCTACTCTTTAACAATATATCAGATGGCTTTGCTTTTGTATCTTTCACGCGGTAGCAGGATGCAGAAAATGCATGGTCAGTACTCTATTCAGTTGGAGTACACAAATCCATTTAAATTCCTAATGGGCCATGATTTGTTTTTCTAAATCAGGCTATAAAAATATTAATGCAAAGTTGTTGCAAAGAGACCTGTGGCTGTTGATTGGGCTGTTCCCGGAAAAGTGTACACTGTAGCTGCAAAAGTTGATGCTAAGGATAATGGTAAATATAAAGATTCCTTTATCAGTTATCTTTACGCTTCCAAAATTCCTTAAGTTGTTCATTTATCAATTACACAAAATTGAGAGTTCTCACATAGCTAATGCAAGATTTACATTATGTGAACTGTGCATCATTTTACTCCACGGGATGACTAAATCGAAATGCGTGGTATGTCACCTTCGACAAACAAGCCGTTTAAGATCACTTTGAGATCTTCAGTTCAGAAAAAGATATGTCACTTGTTACCAAGTCTAAAGAACCAGCACGCCAGCACATTTCTTAGGTACTGCAAACCGGTAAAGTGTTGGAATTGATGCCCTTTTAGGATATTTTAGGATTCAATGGAATTGTTTTGTGCGCTGGACTACTGTCTTCCCCCCCCCCCTTTTAGTAGCTATACATGCATGCTGACATATGAACAGTTAACCAGCATGCTGATATATTCTAGATGAG